CCCTATCCTGTAAAACAGACCCATATTACTTGTATTATTAAATTTCCAGTGAAGGTGGCAAATATTGCTGACTCATGGTTTGTTGGTTTGAATGGAGATGTTGAAGCATGAAGGCAATAAAGACTGTTATACCACCAAAGCCTCTCTACACAACAGTAAAGTTTATTTAAAATAAAAGTTGCAAATACTATTCTTAGTTGTAGATTCAAATGAAGACTGAAAACAAGGTGATTAGAGGTCGTTTATGTTTATATAAAGTTGAAATTCAAGCTGTAGAAAACCTAAAGAAAATATCTGATATGAATATCTGAGTCACATTCAAAGTAGGGATGTCTAATAATAAGTTTTTGCCGATATGCCAATATTGTCCAAACGTAATTACTTATTCTGATATCAACCAATACTGATATAGGTTTGGTATTATTTATTTATTTACCTGTGCAAACCCTGATTATTAAAATAGATAAATTAAATGAGCTGCAATGCTGCCATCTAGTGACTTTCACTTTAATATACAGCCGTTTATCTCCAAAACTATTCTTCTCTAACCCAGGCATTGCATTATTGGGTTTTCATTATCAGAGGAAAAAACAATAACGATTCTCTAATTAAAGAACTGTACCATGAGCTCTGGACCACGTTTATGCAGCTACCAATTAAAAGTTGTGTAGTTTTTATATAATTCTTTATAAAAAAGAACTAACAAATGTTTTCAAAAGTCTAACTGGTGCTGTGGAATAAGAGTCAGACCTAAACTGCAGTAAATTACATTTAATTCCATTTCTATCAGCACAAAGTTGACCATTATGTCTAAAACAGTCTGTAATTGAATAACAAGTGATTTCTCTGTGGGAGGTGAAGTGTCACCACCACGGTCTGAGTGAAGCTTGTGTTCTTAAAATAAAAATAAAAAACTACATGAGCTCAACGTAAGCAGCCGGGAACAGACCGATACGTCCGTGACACTGTCCCTTCCACCAGCCTTCATCTACCATCTCTATGTTGGTGATGACATCATCCACGTCAAAGGAGATCTCGTCCGCAGCCTCTGTGGAAAAAAAAGAAAAGACTCTGTCCTGTGGCTGCGATGACATATATTTTGTCAAAATATAAGGTCTGGGAGAAGTTTCCTTCCTACCTCCCTGATAGTCGTACACGGCCACAGCTTTCTGTCCAGACATGTTCTCGTAGTCGTCATCGCGCTCATCTAAAAAAGGAAAGTGAAATTTAAAAATACTGACCAAGCGACTGTAGTTTCCCCTTAAACTAAAATGTTACTTATCTCTATGAAGTAACAACTACAATGCATTTAAACTGCAGCCAAAGAGACACTGACCTGGCTTCTCCTCAGGTGGAATAACATCGTCGTAGTCTCTATCCTGATCCACCTCTTCTGATCTCTCAGGCAGAGGCGGAGCATCCAGTTCGGGATTTTTATAATCCTGAGGTGGCTCTTCATACAGTGGTTCATCCTGCAAAAAAATAATCATAAAACAATGATTTTATCATTTTCAATCCTGACCTTTTACATCCTCGGCCTTGTTTGGGAATGTCATGATTTAACAGAAGAATCTCTCTCCTCCAGGTATTAGAAAAGGATGATGTCACCTCTGAATCAGCAGCTGTTTGTATTGCTGGTGGAGGCGTCTCGCACTTAACCACAGCTGGAGGAGGTGGTGGACAAGGTTCTTCTTGTTCTTCTTCTTCTTCTTCTTCTTCTTCTTCGCTCCTCTGTTCCTACAGGGAGCAGAACAGAAAACTCAGTCCTCCTCATGTACCTCAGCATCACTTCATATTCTCCCTTTGTGAATTTACCTGCTCCCTCTGTTTGGCCTCCTCTCGCTCCCTCTTCTCCCTGGCTTGTCTCCTCGCTCTCTCCTCTTCTGCTTTCTTGCGGTTCTCTTCTTCCGAGGCCTTCGCCATGCCCTCGAAACGTGCTTTTAACTTTCCTGCATCTGCACTCGCTGTGTGGAACACGGAACAGTGTGACCACAGCAGTCACCTCTGACCACATTTGAACCAGTGGTTCCCAAAGTGGGGGGCAGGGCCCTAAGTAGCTATGACAGGTCATTTTCAGGTGAAAGACAAGAAAAAGCTAACAGCCATGTTTAAATCCCTGTTTTCGTCTGTAAGTATTTCACGTCTTGAGAAAAAAAAAAGAAAATTGCAAATATTAAGGTTTTGTTTTTTTTAAGAAAAATATTCTTACCAGCCTCAAATGGTTGAGTCTTTTCATAGGCAGAGCCTGGAGAGTGCATGTCTGAGAAACCGGCTGCACTCTGGAAAAACATGTAGTTAGAAAATGTAAAAATAAAAATAATAATAATTATGAAACAACGTCCAAAAAAATAAAAATAAAAAAATAATAATAATAAACATAACAATTTAAAATTAAACCCTTTTTAATTGAAACAACAACAGTATTACACAGAAAATTCACAAACATCTGAATTTCTTTGACCAAGTGTTCGATAAAAGTATTCTGTAAAAATTAAACCTTAAAATAATTAATAGAAAATAAATTAAAAAAATAAGACAAGAATAAAACACAAACAAAAAAAATACTCGGTGTGTCAATACTGCGACTGACAGTTGTGTATTTAGAGCCACTGACACTGACCTTATCCTGTCGATCTGCCTGGACTCCATATCGACCTCCGAACCCTGTTGAGTAATCTGCACAGAAAAAGAGAAACTATTCATTTGTAGCCTTTGGAAAAACATTCATTTATTAAAACAAACATTTATTTATTCACAATAAATAATAAATTATATATATATTTTTAATATAATTTGATGTAGATGAGTACACACAGGTCAGGTACAACTCACCTTTTTGTGACTGATGTTTCTCCGTTTCACCTTTATAGTCATAACCCACCGCTGCTTGGTCCACTTTCTCCTTCTCGACACCAAACTTTCCTCCAAATCCTTTGGAATAATCTGCTCAGGGACCAATGAGAGAGGAGGAACGAAGGGGAAGTGAGGTGAGTGGGAGTTCCAATAAACTGATGCTGATGCTGCAGCTTCTCCTCCTCACCTCTCTGTGACTCGTGTTTCTCAGTTTCTCCTTTGTAGTCGAAGCCCAGGGCAGCTTTGTCCACCTTCTCCGTCTCCACGCCGTACTTCCCCCCAAATCCCTTGGAGTAGTCTGACAAAAACAAGAGATAAAAATAAGATAAAATACAACACACAAAAAAACCTGTCCATACTTTAAATGTCCACAGTTTGAACCCACCTTTCTGCGACTGATGCTTCTCCGTCTGGCCTTTATACTCGTATCCCAGAGCGGCCTTGTCCACTTTGTCTTTCTCCACTCCATACTTTCCCCCAAATCCCTTTGAGTAATCTGTTAACAAAGGAATGTCAGGAAAATCCTTAAGAACTGAAACTAAGAAAAGAGAATGGAAAAGACAAAAAAAATGACAAACTATTTAATGACTTTCTCTACCTCTCTGAGACGCATGTTTCTCCACGTCTCCTTTGTATTCAAAACCTAGAGCAGACTGTAGAGACGGATGGGATTAACTACATATATATATATATACACACATATATATATATATAACATATTTTATATACAAAACATATTTTTATTATTAATTAGATTTACCCACCTTGTCAATGCGGTCTTTCTGGACACCAAATTTCCCTCCAAACCCTCGAGCAGCGTCTGTCTGAGACGAGTGCTGCTCCACATTTGACACATAGTCGTGGCCCACAGCCCCCTTATACACAGACAACACACAACTTACAGACAGTAGTGAAGAAATGAAGTCAATTACAGCCTTCCTTTTTTCCTTACCTTGTCCATTCTGTCTTTCTCCACTCCAAACTTCCCTCCGTATCCATAGGAAGCTTTGGGAATGTTCTCCTTCTGCTTCCCGTGCTCATGTTCCACAGTCACTTTGCTTCTGAGCTCTGTGACACTGAAAGGTCACACAGGGTCAGAGAAACAGGCACATGTCTTTAAAGCTAGGATTTTAACTAATATAGCTCCAATAATGAAAACCCCTTAATGCAATGCCTGAGTTTCACCAAATGATGTGTGCATCATCATTGTGAATCACTGTGTGAACTTCTGTTTATCTGTACAGTATTAGATCAGACTGTTTTTGAGTCGCCATCATAAATTATCCATATTAGGAGACGCTCAGAGTCTGACGGTCTCTGGTTCTGCTCTCACTTCCTCTTCCTGTTTCTACACAGCAGCAGCTTCTGTGTTTCTCTACGTCGTTCAAATCAATGTTGGGTTTTTTTGTAAACTCTCCTCACCTGATGTGCTCTTTACGTCCTGAGCCCTCGATGGTCTTTGCTCCCCAGCGCTGCTCCTGCTCTGAGACGTCATTCTAAAAACAAAGACAACACAACATGAAAATTAGTGTTATTATTTATAGAGCCATGTTGGACAAAAAGCAAGGTCAAGAGTTCCGTGTACCTCAAAGTCAGGGTCTGTCTCCCAGTCGTCTCCCTCTGAAGCCACCTTTACATTCACATTGTGGCCCACCACTGACTTCCACATCTGGCAGCAAACCAAAAAAAAAAAAAATAGTAGCTTAAATGTAAGCAATAAATTAATCACAGTATGCCAAAGTTTAACTTTTATGAAGAATAAAGTCTAGCAAAATACATGCATAAACGTTAGCTAAGGCTAACATTTATCCATAGATAACAAGACTGGCCACGTACACTACAGAATTAGCTTAAAATGTTTATTTTTATGAGAAAATAATTTGCCCATAAGCCGTTATTATCTTACCAAAAAAGTAAACCCCAGCTAAGGTTAGCCTCATAATAAACATTCAAGTTTGTAAAATATAGGGGGGCACGGAGGAAAAGAACGTTAAAAAATTTCAATTTAAATCGCCATAGAAATTACCTTAACGAGTGTCGTTTAAATTTAACTTTTAGTCTTTGCTGAAGCCCCAAAAATAAAGTTATTTTGAACATTAAGCTTCATTTCCTCATTTGTAGAAGACTGCGTGCCAAAATAAATGAATAACTGCACAAAAATACTACGTTACAAAAAACAAAAAGAAAATTGAGGGGGGTTGTTCTGATTAAATATTGTATGTGCACATTTACAATTTGAATAAGAACATTCAAATACTGAAAATATTAGTATAAATGTCGTACAAATCCACATTTAATAAAATTGTTCACTGATCCTAACAATGTCATTAAAGTGACTTGACAACAATCGGCTGCTAACACCAATAGTTTAATCTTTGTTACCGTAAATAGTTTTTAACTGCCGCTACTTCCTGAATTAGGCTAAAAAAGAAAATACGGGTCATACAGATAAAATTCTACATGACAAATACAAAATGTAATAAAAACAACTTTACCTTTCAATCTTCAGTGCAGTAAATCCAGGTTTAGACTGTTATTTATGACTAACTTTGTATATATTTCTATGTACACGTCACAGCGGGAGCTATTGAGTCTTATAGTTTCTGTCGCAGTGAACGAGCATCCGGCACTAGAACAAGTTAATGGTGTTGTTCTACGGTTAATACTCTAGAGGGCAGTGTCTCACAGTTTTCACCAACCTTAGACGTTGTAATACAGTTATACATAAAATGTCATTTAAAATGCACTTAATTACAATTATAATCATTTAGGAATATGATAGTTTTGTGATATTTACAGTTAATTTTTTTTTACTTAATTGTGATCTACGTTTTCATTAACGTTAAACACAGTCAGTGATTTATACAAATCATTTTTCATACAGGTTGTTTATTTTTCATTTCCTGATGTAAAACAAAAGTAAACTGAGTCCAAAGTAAACAAAGGTCCCTCTGTGTGTGTTTGTCAACACATGGAAAAATAATTGATGCTGAACAACGATCAGTCCCTGATCTAAACCACCGATACTTAAATTATTATAGTTAATTATCAAACTTTTATTATTTCTATACAGCCCTTTAAAAACAGGTTATGTACAGCAGAAACAAGCTGATCAGAAGTTGCTTAACCAACACCGACGAACAAATATGATATTGATACTTTGGATCAGTTTCAACCGTTGAATAAATTATGCTACATCATCAGTAACAGGAATAATGGATGTGACATTAATGGAATGAACCCACACTGTGGTTTAAAAATTGCACCTTAAGGCAACTTCATCTGTCGTAAGAACTACAGAGTGAATAAACAGTAAAACCTAAATCTGTGCAACAGGATTTGAACGAAAACAACAGAGAAAAGCCCACGTCCACCTGGTAGAGAGCGTACCGTACACCTGTTTACATTATATGTGCAAAAACATTATATTTTTTAAAGAAGAGGAAAGTAAAAAAAAAGAAGAGAAAAACCTCACAACAGGAATGTGTAAGAACAGAAATTGCACTGTGCTCTGGTATTTTTTTCATTGTTGTGCATGAAAAGACTAGGCGAGGAGGAAGAGGCGGAAGGAGGAGAGAACGTCCTGAAACCTCAGCCATCAGGAGAGAAAAGAAATTCATTTTCCCTTTACTTCATCAAGTATTACTAAGTTATGAACACCAGTGAATTGATACACTTCTTTTTCTTAACAAAATCACTGCTTTATGTCATCCACAGAAATGTTCCAGTGCCACACAAAGGTCAAAGGTAGTACTGCAAATGTCTATGTTTGTTGTTTCTACTAGTAGAAGAGTAGATATATATGAAGAATGTTCTGTGCCAGAAGTATTACACAAATAATATTTAGTGTTGTACTGCAGTTGTCGTCACTAATACTGCCTTACTGCCATCTGCCTGGATGAAGCGTCTGTTTCTTTCTAAGTAACTTTTAGTCCCCGGAGGACACAGCTAAAATGGCTAATTAGTCATTTTACACAGTGCCTTATAATCATATGATACAAATTAGATGTTAAATGCTAATTAGTGAGATTCACAGGTGCCTCTGGGTGGATGTTATCGGGATAGAACAGAGCTCAACAACCATCTGTCCCCGTTTTCAGACACAGTACTGAGCTAAATGAGTTACGTAATCCTCACAGACATATAAACAGTCAATGCATCATTTCGTTCACCCAAAACTGTCCAACTCCTGCTGTACAATAAAGTAACTTTTCACCATCCTTGTATAAAAGTTACAGAAAGAGCGTCATCTACTGAAACAGTTCATGACCAAGTAACTGTTTTTTCCTCACTTTAAACCATAAACAGAACAAACAGCGAGTAATCGCGTTTTTTCCTCACTTTAAACCAGAAACAGAACATAAACAGAACAAACAGCGAGTAATCGCCTCCTGTGTTGTCGCTAAGACTAAACTGAATTAAGTTTTTTAAATGCTCCCAAAACCCTGTCTGTAAAGTGCATCACATCTTGGTTTCCTAGAGTCTCTACAATGGTTGTGACATTTTCATATTTTCAAGTGTCAAAATGTTTTTGACAGGTCCTTTGAATTTCAGGTGATTTTCACTGGACTACACTTAACTAGAGTTAGCTATTTAGTTATAGAGTTCAGAGACAGTATTTAGGGAATGTAGTGCGAGTAAACACAAAACATTCACCTCTCCCTTTCTTCCCTGCAGGGGGAGCCAGAAACACAATTTATGCAATGGTCACAAATGCAAGAAACTTTCATATTCAGCCTAAAATCCTCCCTAACAATTAACTTATTTTTGGAGATGCATAATTATAATAATAATTATTATATTTTTTACAGCACATGGAATCTTTCAGACTTGTCTTCCAAAACCTACTGAGGCTATATTTGTTTATTAAGCACCCAGAATTACTAGTAACCACTGGCAAAATGATTAGAAAAAGAGAGAAAATGCAGATGGTGGCAGCATGGCTGCATGTTAGTCCTGGCTTCATTAAGGCAACCCTGTACTCTGTATCATGGAGGTTATGGTAGAGAATTATGGAATGCTTTTTTCACATCCTTGTTGTTGTGCTGTGTGTGTGTTTAATACCCCTTAAACCTGTTCATATATTAAATGTAAAATATAAAAAAAAGAACTGACAGCTTCAGTTAGGTTTATGTCAAACGTCCTTCTCCCTCCCCTCTCTCTCCCTCTCTTATCTGTCAGGCCTGTTTACAGGAGCTCTGGTTCAAAGGTATCCTCCCATGCACAGCAGCAGCAGGACGTGCACCGTCAGCAGGTAGAGGCTACACAGCAGAGGTGTGCGCTGACGGGAGCAGAAGGCCACTCGCAGCATTCGCTTCAGACCCGGGCCTCCTCTCCGAGTCTGTCAGAGTGAGAATCACACGTTAGAGGAAACAACCGAGTCGTGGCGCCTCAGTATTTCTGTAATGCACACGATGAACCTTACCCGAGTGACGGCTCCCTCTGGTGGGTCGATGAAAACTGAGGTCTCGGAGTGATCTCCGTCCGGATCGGAGTAGAGCTTGGCCGAGCTGCGACTGTTAATGTCAACAATTACAACGAAAAATTCATGTTAAAATGTCTGGTGTCTAAAAGTATGCAGCAGTCCTCGCTTAACATTATGATGATACAAATCTCTACGTTTAACTTAGTCACAACTTTATGCACAAATAAGTTAGTTGGGAGACCAGTGCAGGAACTAAGCCTACAGGTTTGTTTAACTGACAAATGTTTGAAATGCTGAGGGCAGAGAAGATGTGCTTCAAAAGCGACAAAAAAAACCAATTGGTTTGTTATCTGCACACTTGACAGTAGAAGAGTAGAACAAAGTCCAGTCTAGTTCAGTCTATTATCTGCTCTGTTTTTAGCTCAGAGACATCTGTGTCTTTTAACTCGGCAGCTGTCTACGGCTCATCTTTTTTCATCCAAAACCACAGACTGTCCAACTACCATGTGAAATATTATTATTGTACCGTTGTTCCTGCATGACCATGAGCTGCTCCTCGCCGGAAATCCTCAGCTGAATTTCTTCATCCAGCCTGAAAGTTAAAACCAAATTAGATTTATGAAACATTTGTGAAATTTAAACCTCTGTAACGGTGGTGTTAGCTGGGTGCAGCTGATACCTGCGCTGTAACTCTTTGACTTCACTGATGTAGCTGTGACTGTCCACGGAGCTGCTCCTCTCCTGAGGAGCTCCAGGAGGACTGTCCACCTTCTCTGTGCCCTAGGAGAAGAGAGGTCACTTCATGAGGAAGTCTGTTCAGCTGCACATCTTTAATGGAACACCCATCCAGGGTCGTCACCATGTACGTTAACCAAGGCTGTATCTCAAGGTTTCAGTTCCAAACTCTTCGGTTAACTGTTTATAAAATGACCATGGTCATGCTACTTCCAAAACAAAACCGACTTTAAGAGAGAAGCACGTTGACATTCTTTGTTAAAACAGTCTTAAATATTGCTGTGAGTTATTTCTTTCGGTTGCAGTCTTAGGTCACCTGGGATGACCTTTTTCTTTGGGTTTTTCTGGTGAAATCATTAGCTCCGTACAGCATATAGACTTTTCACCTGTCTGTGAACTCCAGAAGAGTTGTTTTACCTGTCTCTGATAAT